ATGTGCAGCTATGACATACAACTATCTACTGGGGGCTTTGGGGGAAAAAAAGGAGGAGGATTGGCAATAGATGTTAGCTCAAGGCCGGTCTCCCTCAGCAAAAAGAGGAGGATTGGCATGGATGTTAGCTCAGGGCTGATCTTCACACACACACACACAAAAAAATTTGTGTGAGTCTATTGCTGGGCTCTCTCTTCTGTGCCACCAATATATGTGTCTATCTTTTCACCAATACCATGCTGTTGTGACAGCTCTAGCATTACAGAAAGTCTTGAAACCAGTAACATGAGTTATCCAAACATCAGCTTTTTATATAACCCCATACTTTTATTTGGAACATTTTTGTTTCTTGAATAAATCATACTTGTCCTTTAAGATTCAGTTCAAACATGAGCTGTGGAAACCATGTACCCATCATTTTAATTCTCATTGCATCCTGTGCTTACCCTGATTATTGTACTTATTGCTATATGCATATAATCTCTTTCTATAATTTTGATGCTCAGAATCTGCCAGTCTTATCAAAGTGGATAATCAAGAAAATCTGCTGTACTGAGTGGAACAGACTGGATATCTGAAGTGTCTATATAACATTCTCACCCAATAGTTGGCTATACTACACTCAAATCTCTGAAGGAGTTTTTTACACCCACATGTCTCCAGTCATTCATTATTTATATGTTTAAGCACCTGGTATTTGCCAGGAATTAGGTGAGATGTTGCTGATAAACTGACAAATAAGAGCCCTGATCAAGCCAGTCCTATCAGTCCAATTTCGTACCTAACATATTGTATTAAAATGGTCATTTTTCAGTTCTTGGCTGTGAGCTCATTGAGGGCAGTAACTGGGTTTGTTGGGGTTTTTTTTGGTGATTTTACTTATTAATTAACTAATTTATTCATATCTCTGATGCATAATAATGCCTGGTCTATGTGTGTGAAAAATATTTGGTGAATAAATTATGAAGGACTTTTGGGGCCAGCCCAGTGGTGCAGTGGTTAAGTGCGCACACTCCGCTTCAGTGGCCCAGGGTTTGCAGGTTCGGATCCGCGGCACACACCGATGTACCGCTTGTCAAGCCCTTGCTGTGGGGGCGTCCCATATAAAGTAGAGGAAGATGGGCACAGATGTTAGCCCAGGGCCAATCTTCCTCAGCACAAAAGAGGAGGACTGGCATTGGATGTTAGCTCAGGGCTGATCTTCCTCACCAAAAAAAAATAAATAAATAAAATAAAATTATGAAGGACTTTTGTTTCAGTTAAATGTAACTAAGAAAAAGTATTAACTTTTTCAAAGTAGTAACACCTGAAGACAGGGTGGTACCAAAAGGCTAATTAGATCATTAAAGCAAAAGAAAAATGTGGCTGTCTTAGATTCACAAAAATAAAATACCATCATAGCAGGACACAGTGCCACTTTCCACGGAGATGTCCTGAACCTGCAGATTCTTTTTCTGGAATTCAGTCAAGTACAGGATGAACACTGTAATAAACGAAATGTATTCCTAAGTGCTAGATAGGTCAACTGTATTACAAACTTAATTGATTAACTTGCTTTATTAAGATGGCGAGCTAGCACACGATTGTGAGCTAACAACAATCCTAGTGAACTAGAAAGACAAGGGAGGTATGCATTCCAGGAATTAAAAAATAAAAAAGGCTCCTAACCACGATGGAGTAACAGATATCCAACTAGGCTTCTTGCCACAAACAATCCAAAAACAAGGCAAAATATACGAGGCAATGGTTTTCACACATTGGACAACAGGCAATGCAGGACTATGCTCATTGACAGAAGAGAAAAACACGAAGCCCATGATTGCCTCTGCTTTCTGCCTGGCACCACTTTCTGGAACATGGTATGGGGAGGATAGCTCAAGTAAACTCAGAATCTCACTGAGCTGAGGAGGCCAAGAATAGAGTTTGGGGATGCTAAGATGGCTGGAATATGTAGGGTAGGGTCAAGAGAATCATTTTCTGCAAAAAAGGAGCCCCAGAACTGTGCATAGGGATCTCCTTACACTTTTAATTAATACTAAGTTGTGCATGTGCAGGGACAGACTCCACAAAGCCTAGCAGAGAACAGCTGCTGGGGAGCTGTGAGCTGAACAGAGAATCTAGAAGTCACACAGTGTGGGAAATAGGAAGTTCCAAACACTCAGTGAACAGACACTTCTGAACACCCTGGTAGTCAGTTGACACCCTAGGAAGGCCACACTTTAAGAGCAGGGTTAAGCGAGCTCTAAAGCAAAGGCTACTCTAGATCTACCAGACGAAAGCTCTAAAGTAGGCCTTGAAGGGATCAAACTGATCTGCTGGTAAATTCACTGGCTGCTATAAAAAATCCATACTCTTTAAAGCAAGATAACAAAATCTGAACTCTCAACAAATAGCATCCACAATGTACAACATACAATGAGAAATGACCAGTCATTTTAAAAACCAGAAAAATGTGATCCATAAGGAGGAAAAAAGCAACCAATGGAAATAGTACTTGAGATTACCCAGATACTGGAATTAGAAGGTAGTATAAATATGTTTATTAACTTAATGGAAAATATGGTCAGAATGAATAAGTGGACAGAAACCTCAGAAGAAAAATGGAAAGTATAAAAAATAGACCTGGGAATGAGAGTTTTATAACTGAAATGAAAATTTCACAGAATGAACATAAGAGCAGATGGGAGAAATCAAAAGAAAGGGTCAGTGATCTCCATGATAGATCAATAATAATTATCCAATCTGAAGTACAAAAAGGAAAAAGATTGAAAAAAGAAACAAAGGTACTTATGGAACAATACTATTAAGTGACCTACTGTACTTCTAAGTAGAGTCCTAGAATGAGAGGATTGATAGAATGTGGTAGAACAAAAACTATGACCAAAATCCCCCAAATTTGATAAATAGAAAATCTTGTAATCAGAAAAAAACAACACATAACATTGGGAAACAAAAATATGAAGGATTCCTACTCAATCAGAAACAAGAGAAGCCAAAAGACAATGGAATCATATCTTTAAAGCACTAAAGAAAAAAATGTCAACTCAGAATTCTATCTCCAGAGAAAATATCCTTTTAAAATGAAGATAAAATACAGATATTTTCAGTTAAAGGAAATTTAGATCATAACTAGCAGAACTGCAGTACAGAAAATGCTAAAGGAAGTTCTTTAGGTTGAAGGGAGTTGACATTAGTTGAAAAAAAAGACCAACATGAAGGAAGGAAGAGCATCAGAAATGGTAAATATGTGGGTATATATAAAATGTTTTCTTCTCTAAATGTTATTAAAACATATGACTTTAAAAGAAAATAATGCAACACTATGTGATGGGATTTATAATGTACGCAGCTGAAATACGTATGACAACAGTAGGACAAAGAATAAGGAGTGTAAATGAAAGACTATTGTTACAAAGTTCTTATATTTTACACGGAGTGGTGCAACATTAATTCTAAGTAGAACTGTGTTAAATTAGGATCCATATTTTAATCCCTAGAGCAACCTCTAACAAATGCATAGAGGTACAGCTGAAGAGCCAATGAAAGAATTCATATACATCAGAAAAAATTGATCAACCTCTCCAAAAAAGGCAGGAAAGGAGAAATATTTAATAAAAAATGTGGCAAATAGAAATCAACAATATAGTAAACCTAAATCCAACCAAATTTATAATTATATAAACATAAATAAACTTAATATTTCAATGAAAAGCCAAAGACTATCATACTGGATAAAAAATGTGAAACCAAAACTACATGATATCTACCAGAAATGTATATGAAATATAAAATCTGATAGGTTCAAGGAAAAAATATGGAAGTAGATCAACCATCCAAACAGTAAGCATAAGAAAACTAGAGTGACTATAATATACAAAATAGATGTTAAGACAAGAGACTAGAGAAACCTTTCATAATAGAAGGTTCAGTTCATGGGGGACACACAATCGTAAATGTGTATACACTATATAACAGAGCTTCAAAATACATGAAGCAAAAAGTGAGCAAACTAAAGGGAGAAATAGACAAATCCATAATCGTAGTTTTCATGTATCTCCTATTTCATATACAGTTACTGCTTGCAAAATGGGACTTAAGATTGGCCTAGACATTTTTAAATGATTTCTAAAGTTTTATACTCTTGGAAGAAGAACAAATTCTTCCGTTTATTAACTAACATATCAAAGAATTTGAGATGGGGAGGATGCTGCAGTGTGGTCCCTGGCGGGCTTATCCCGTGTCTTTCCTGAACAAACCCAGGACAGGAGAAACTTAATTACTCCTCATCTGAGAAAGACTTCTGAAGATACTCTTCCTAATGCTCACTTTTCAGTCCTCCTCATCAGGAAGGCAAACAATTATAAATGCATGTGCTTAATGGAGCTTGAAAATACTTGAAGCAAAAACCTGATAGAACTAAACGGAAAATAGAAATAGACACACCTCTCAGTAATTACAGAACTAGATTTTTAAAAATCGGTAAGGATAAAGAAAACCTGAGTGACAATATCAACCACCTTAACCTAATAGACTTTTATAGAACAATACGTTCACAACTGCAGGAGGGAAGAGAAAAAAACCGCAAGGAAGGAGGGAAGGAAGCAGGGAGCGCAAGCAGGCACGAGCGACCTTTGTGTGTCTAGGTTCTGCTCCAGGTTCTATAGGGTTCGGGGCATATTTTTATTGAGTACTTATGTATAACCACATCCCACTTGGGTATATATACTGAGCACCTGCTGTACGCCTAATACATATATTAGGGCCTGCTGGTACCTAGACCTCTTTCTAAGCCCTGGTAGGGCTTCCTCAGCGACAATCACAAACTCGACCTCGCAGAGCGCGCTTTGTTCAAGCCGGGGCAGCCCCTCGGGGTAGCCCCTCCCCCGCCAGCCCATCTTCAAGCGCCTGGCCCGGCTCCCACGCTTGCGCACTCCGCGCAGCCCCTTGGGGCGGTGACCAGGCCCTCCCTACCACGGACTACATTTCCCACAGGCCTCTGCGACGAGTTTCCTTCCGGCTTCCTTGCTGGTGTGGGCTCCGAGAGGTGAGTTGGTCGCGTGCATTGAGGAAATGGGCGCGGGGGCGGCGCGGGGGCGGCGCGGGGGCGGCGCGGGCCTGGGTGTGAACCGGGTTGCAGTGACTGTGGAGTTTGTGACGCTCACTGGGCACTGGGTGCCCTGAGGCGTCCCCTGCCCCGCCCCCCGCTTCAGGGCCGCACAGATCAGCGGCCCAGAATGGCTCCGAGTTAGTTGTCTGGGAAGGCCCCCAACAAAAAGACGCAGTCTGGAGAACGACTGCAGGTCTCAGAACCACAGCGTAACCAGCGCTCTCCCGCGAGGAAGCTGCCGTGGACTCAGGGACAGATTCCAGTGCTGGCCTTTGTACTCGGGCCTTTCTCTCTGATCCCGGGAAGGGCCAGCTCTACCCCAGGCCCCGTCTTCCCCTCGGGTTATGTGTGTGTGGACAGTGGGGGCGAGTGGGGTAGGGGGGTGTGTCGTCCGTTAGCCAGGCCGGCCGAGCTCCAAGGATGGCTCCACGTCTCAGGGTTCCGGCCTCCTTCCCCCATCTTCCTGATCTTTGGGAAGGAGAGAGAACGGAGGAAATAATTATAGATGAGTTTGTGTTTCCTCTTTGTTCCATGAAATATGATTTTTATTTTTCCGGGCACGGGAACATTTGCTTCTACTGTGAAAGCGTGAAAATCAGCTCGGACTGAACAGTTAACAAGCAGCCCTGCCGTTAATCAGGCTGGGAGAGAAGAGACAGTTAAAGCCAGCTGCAAAGTTATAGAAAATGCTATGGCTCCCCAGGTCATGCAGCAGTTGTAAAATGCCATAACGACTCCTCCTTTGAGAGATTACAGCTGTCTTACCAGTGATGCTCCAGACCCGCTTTGGTGTTTTTATTACTGGGGCTACCCAATTGCTGAGCTGTCCTGCTTCATGATAGCACTCAATGTCCAGTTAATCCCTGCCTCTCCCAAGTTCACCCCAGAAACAGCAACCATTCCCGAGCTGCTCCCCGCTTCCCTCCAATCCTCCTCAGAATCCTTCTACTGGAACTCAACCTTTTACAAAAGAGCTTTTCTTCTCCCTCTCCTCCATCGCATTCCAGACGTTGACGTTCCTGTGGAATTTCCTCTCTCTGGAGGCAATAAATCTGATTTTGTGAGACTATACAGGCTTGTTCCAGGTAGACTTGAGCTGATTAGGCTTTAACATGGGTAATATCCTATCCTTGACCTGGTGCATTGCCCTTCCTTCCCAGTGAACTGTGGGGGTGATGAGGGTAACCTCCCCCTCGGTGGCTATTCACGTGAACATTTAGTTCCTGTTGTGACATGCTTTTTCTCATCATTTGAATGGCCTCCAAGTAAACCTCCTCAACAGAGGCCACCTGCAGAGCTTTATTCTAGGCTGTGATTTGTTGAGAAGGTTAGAGTTGAGTTGGAATCATACACTACGTGTCTTTGATCTTCTCCATTGCCCTGAGTTCAGAAGCAAGGAAAGATAGGAGATGGTTTGATTGGTGACAGAGTCTTCTGCTTTTGAGGCTTTTAAGAAATGGAAGTATGATAGTTTTTAACAGAGAGGTCTGTGTTAAGAAGGATAGGAAGGGAAGACATTAGTAGAAATTTGAGAAGTGGTTTCAGGTTTTTGACAGTGTTTGTTTCAGGCCACATATTTATGTGGTCTTATGAGAAGCAGTTTAGTGTAGTGGCAATAGTACGGGTTATGGAGTTAAATGACCAGGGTTCTAATCCTAAACCTGCCACTTAGAGTTGGGTGAATTTGGGGCAATTTATTTCATCTCTTTGTGCCACAGTTTCTTCATCTGTAAAAGGAGGATAATGATAGAACCTCTGTATAGCATTGCTTTGAATAGATGAATTAATATATGTAAAGTCCTCAGATAATGCTTGACATACAATAAGTGCTCAATAGATTTAATTGGTACTCTTATGTTGTAATTCCATGTTTTTCCTCATCACCCAGATCCAAAAATTGTGAGGATTTTGTACTTCATCCCTCCACATACCCCCGTTTTGTAAATTGTTGTTTGGAGGAACTGCCTGTCAGTGTGAAGTTTTGAAATTTATTAGTTAGCATTATAAGAAAAAGCAGGGCTGAGAAGCTCAAATTTTTTATGGAAGAAAAAAGAAAGAGCAGAAGAGAATTTTCTTTAATAATTATGGGAAGGAGAGTATGTAGTATTCATCTTCAGTGATATAGCTGACTTTTATTGAATGTTTGTTTGCTACTTTAGTGCTTTATCATATATAGTGTCTTATTCAATCCTCATAGCAACCGTTTGAGAAAGAACTGGTAATCATCACTATTTATTATTATATTTTTTTAGTGAGGAAGACTGGCCCTGAGCTAACGTCTGTCGCCAGTCTTCCTCTGTTTGCTGAGGAAGATTGGCTCTGAGCTAACATCTGTGCCCATCTTCCTCTATTTTTTATGTGTGGGACACCACCACAGCATGGCTTGATGAGCGGTGTGTTGGTCTGCGCCCAGGATTCGAACCTGCAAGCCCCAGGCCGCCAAAGCAGAGCGTGTGAACTTAACCACTACGCCACTGGGCTGGCCCCGTTATCACCATTTTATAGGGGAGGAAACTAAGGCTGAAAAGTTAAGTAACATGTTCAAGATCACACAGTTAATAACTATCAGAGCTGAGATTTGTATCCTGAAAGTTTGACACCAAAGCCTATATTAGTAATTACAACAGTATGCCAAGTCTCATCGTTATATATACTTTAAAAACAAATCCTTCCTACCTTACTCAGTAATCCATCATGATGGAGGGAGGAGATATTAATCTGATGACAGCAAACACTGTCAAGTTAGGTCCAGGTTATACTGAAGCTGTGGGGTCTGTGGAGGTAAATGGATTTCCTACAGTAGGGTTTTTGCCTTACGATGTTTGTATTAATGATGTTCTATGAAAGTGAGACTAGTAGGACAAGAAGATCCCACAGCCATGGGAGAGCTGCATAGGGATCTTAGCCAAAGGATTGGCTCAGAAGTAAAATAAACCCACTTGTCAGAAAGATGTGAAAGGAGGCAGCCGTAAGACAGCCATCAGTGGGGAAAAGACGCCAGTCAGGGACTTCTTGCCCTCCTTTTCTGGCTGGTGCTCCAGCATCCATGGGCAAATTAAATCCTAGAGTTGGTTCATGAATTAGAAGCTGAAATAAAAAAGAAAGTCACTCAGGAAAAACAACAGCTGTGTTTAGAGTATCCAGAGCTTTCTTCTCAGTTCAACAGAAGACTGAAAGAGACCCTTGACTGGGAAAGTCTTTCCTTCTTTGGAGTATTTGTGGACTTGGGGTCACGCTATGTTTAGTTTGATGATGAGTGTCACTGGCTGTCACTGTAAACATTTGAACTGGTCCTTCCTGGCATACATGTGATTTTTTTTTCTGTCAAAATAGTTTAATGCCACATATGTTGGGATTTTTTGTTTCAAACACACGGCTTCACTCATTTCATCAAAATTATGGCAACATCATCACTTCTTAATATTTGCATGGTTTTCAATACTATAGGTGCACTACAGTTTATTTAATCATTTCTCTGATTAGATTCTTTTCAGCTTTTCCCATTATATGTAACCATATCTGTCAACATCCCTCTGCAAACGTTTTTATGTACAAATAGTTCATTGAGTCCCAGAAGTGGAGTTTCTGCTTCACGGTTTTCAGGTTACAAGATTTAAATGCTGCTTCACATAGTTCTAAATTTGCATCCACCTAGTGTCCATTTCCCTGTGACCTTGCTAATAAGTCTTTTAGATCTTTCAATCTAATCACTGTAAAAAGATATTTTTTGGTCATTTAACACGCATATCCTTAATTACTGGTGAGGTTTGGTATCTTTTGAAACGTTATTTCTATTTTTTAGTGAATTGCCCTTGCTCAGGTTTCCCTCAGTGAAGTAGGAATCCTAGCCTTCAGAGGCAAAAACCAAAGTTGAAAGATGGCTTCTTAGTTAGAGAAACGTGGGTGCAGAACAGAGCTCCGCCACTTAATAACTGCGAATTTGGGCAAACAGTTTGACCCCTGAGCATCAGTTTCCTGAGCTCTTGGAAGGCGAGAAGAACTCCTTTGCAGAACAGTGCTGAGGATCAGCACCCATCACATGAAAGTTCTCAGTGACTGTTTGTTGTTGACTAACTGTCTCGATCATGGATCCCCGCCTCCCCTGGATACTGGGTGGCAGAGGATGTCATGGTGTGAGAAGTCCTGACTGGGATACAGTAGTGAGCTCTCCTGGCTGGGAAGAGCCCGGAGCTGCCAGGCTCAATCTGTGTGGTTTTCTGTCTTTGTGTTCAGGAAGTTCAGGCAGGATCCTGGGGGCTCAGAGGAGGCTCTATTTGAATAGTGTGGCCCTTTCTCAGCCCTGAAAAGTTCTTCTGGAGGGGGGAGGAGCTGCTCAGGACAGGTTGGAGTACTCCAGTGTCAGGACCAGATCCACGTTGCCAGATGGGGAACTGGTCAGAAACCCTCCTGTAGAAGTATCTGGGCTTCTATACCAAGTCCATCATTGTTTAGCTGGGTTTCTTCAGGGCTTGGATTTCTTCAGACTCTATACTCTCCTCTAGTTTGTGTGGGTTTAGTAGTGGGAATAGTTTGGAAGTAAGAATGGAAGGGAAAAAAGCTTATATTAACATAAGTCATTTGGGAGCTCTCAGTTACAGCTGGTTTCATGCCTTCTTTTTCTTCTTCCAGCTCTGGCTTATCTGGACTCTGCAGTCGTCCAACAGAGGAATCTTGAGGACTGACCAGTTCTTGCAGTTTGAAACCATGGCCCATGTAAGTTGATGTTTCTTCCTCCTTTTTGAGATATTGTCAATTTCTAGTTCATGTGTACATACTCATTTCTTATCCTGAAATTTCCTGTTTAACAAAACTCCATCCAAGAACCTGCTCTAGTTCCCCTCATTCCTGTGAGGGCTGGGGACAAATAGCCCAGTATCCTGTCTCTGCATCCTTCCCTTTTTTCCACTAATGTGGACCATCTCCTCTGTACAAAATCTTCTGTTGGGAGCCATGAGCAAGCAAAAGTGAAATGCTTGAGAAAAATGTAGGCTTTCTCTGCAGGATGTCCCCTCTAGTAACATTTTCCAATAGAACAGCTTTTGATTTTAATAATTAAACTTCAGAGAATGTATATTTCTCTGAATACAGTGATTTTTAGCCTAGTTGTATGAAGGAAAAATTTGTGTCCCCAATACACAGTTTGACATTTTTTTAAAGTGTTTTTAACTTTTTATTGACATATAATGTACATGGAGAAAAGTACACCAATCATAAGTGTACAGCTGAATGAATTTTCACAAATTGAGTATATCTGTGCTGCCAGCACTCAGGTCAAGAAAGAGAACATTACTAGCACCTCAGATGCCCACCTTTGAGTCCCTCAGTCCCCACCCAGTCCAAATGTAACCTCTACCCTCACTTCAAATACCATAAATTAATTTTGCCTGTTTTTAGAACTTTATATAAGTGAAATCATATAGTTCAAGGCACCATTTTTTAACAAAAACAGTGTGCAGGAAGAGTCTTGTTATATTCCAAATACAGTTGCTAGACCGTCAGAACCATTTGTGGATGTTTTGAAATGCATGCAAGGATCGTGAAAGGGGGTGTGTACAGGTGGTGCTGCTGGTCGTAAAAGAGGCATCAGAGCGTCATACTGAGCGTGCGCCATTCCTGCCTTGATGCATTTTCGTGGTGCACCTCATATGTGGCCATTGTTTTTGTCTAGTATAAAATGAGTTCCTGAAAAGTTGGAAAAGTATTTAAGAAAATTGTGGAGAAACAAACAAAGCAAGGGAGAAAAATGAGTTCAGTAAAAGAGACAATGAAAATACTAAAGCCAGAGATACCATGTGTGCACTGACCCATGTACTCTAGTTCTATACTGGGGGGAGATGTGAAGCTAGTCAGAGGGTTGGAATTGATGTATAATGCATTATAATTCTTTGCGTTAAAATGATGGGAAAATCGGCCCCTGGTTAAAAATGTAGTGTTACCATGTCTGAGGTTCAGGAATGGGTTATTGATGTTAAGTGAGAGATCCCTGTTTTGAGCTTTCCTTGAAGATCTGTGGTTTGATGAAAGAGAGAATTTGGTGCTATTTGACTGCTTACAGGGAAACTCCAAACTTCTCCACACACCTGAGTTTTCCAAGTGCATAAGATGGGATTTATTATTGGTTGATCTCAGTCTCTGTATGAGTTGAGATCTTATGGTTTGTAAGGCTTTTAGGATTGGGTGGATTAGGTAGGGATGTGGTTGGGGGCTTGCAAGGCCTAAAATTTCATGTGCCGCCTTGATATCTTTGTCAAGGCCTCAAAGGCCTACCCATGAGTTCCTCTGCTCTCGCCAGATATGCTCCCCATCTGGTGGAAAAGACTCCCTACTTGGCTAGTTCCCCTATCAGGCAGACCAGCCAGACTCCTCCTGGTCCTCATCCTAATGGGTTTCACCTCCCTGCCAGCCCACAGAATTACTCAGACAAGCCCATCACATCCTCCTTCGGGAACCAGGGAACATCTCACCCTCCTTTTACTACAAAGCCTGCCTCCCACACACCCTGCTTGTTCACTGTATTCCTGAGTGCAACCCCTGTGTGGCCCTGCATGCCATGTGGTGTCCTCCTCCCCCGGGCTGTGAGTATATGTGACTGATAAACTGCTGTCAGTCTCATCTGTCCAGTGTCGGATATTCAGCCATCTCATACTGTTTAGGGTGAGGATCCCTCCCTCACCAGTGGTGTGAATAGGCCGTGATCAGAACAGGACTGCAGACAGAGAGATCAAGAATCATGTCCAGGAAACCCTGAGAGACGAATACCAGGAGCAGAGTCCATTGTGTAGTTTTACAGGATGTGCTGGTTTAGAGAAGAGTTTCTCAACCTTGGAACTATTAATATTTTGAGCCAGAAAATCTTTTATTTTGTGTGTCCTCTGCATTGTAGCATGTCTAACAGTATCCCTAGCCTCTACGAATCAGATGCTTATCACCCTCACACCCCCTCCCCCCAGTTGTGACAACTAAAATTGTCTCCAGACATAGCCAGATGTCTTCTGGAGAGTAAAATCACTCCTCATTGAAAACCACTGGTCCAGACTGATATCTTCACGATTCAGTGAGGGATGGTGGATGATAAAATAGTAAGAAGGTCATCTGGATGCGTAAGTAATAGGTAATGTAGACTGTGAGAGTTGAGGAAGATTTTTGAGTTTATATTGAATTAAAACATCTAAATAGAAAAAAAAAAGAGAAATTGTATCTAAAATATTCAAAATGTGGACTACCATGTAGCCAATTTTAAAACATTTACTAAAGAGTTGGTCATAACAGGGAAAATGTTTATAATAAAATCTGACTTTACGGACTTGTCTATTTTTTTAGAGATTTTGTAGTACATGTAGAAGAAATTTTTATCAATATTTTTTCATCATCATTAAAGGGAAAAGAAGATAGAAGACCTCGTATTTCTTAAGAATTTGTGTTGGAGACACAGCTTGCAGAAGGCTGTTTCATTTAATTGGGACTTTTTTTGGTTATTTTATTTATTTCCAGATATTTTTGGGTAGAAATTTAATCTTAAGGTAGCCACAGGGCTATTCAAGACATGAGCCCTCTGCTTCAGTGATACTAATTTTCTTACTGTCCCCTATGCATGTCATAAGTTTTCAGCCCTACCCTATTGCTTGCTATGTGGCCCCCTGTCTGCAATGCAATCCTCGATCTCGTCTCTTTCTATTTGAAAAATATTTCATTTATTTTCACAAGTAATACATGAGTTTTATTTTTTCAGGGTTCAGTGACGTTCAGGGATGTGGCCATAGACTTCTCCCAGGAAGAATGGGAATTCCTGGACTCAGCTCAGAGGGACTTATATAGGGATGTGATGTGGGAGAATTATAGCAACTTCATCTCACTAGGTAAGGCTGTTTATCCTGAATTATATTGGCTTTCTCTACTGTCAGTTTCAGACTTAATGTTCTGAGAAACTGGATAAGTTCTTTCTCTCTGTTCCAAAGGAATGTTTTAAGCTTTGTTAGGTTATAGAAATAGGCCCCTCCATTTAACACTTCTTCACTCCCATCTGTTATATCCTTCAGACTTTCTTCAGGCTCTGTGATTTCCTTGTTTCCTTAGTATCCAAGGGGCTGGGTTTCAATTCTGGGTTGCTTACAACAGAAACACTGTTCAAGAAACCAGATTTCACATTGTATTAGAGCTTAGAATTGATGTAGATGCTTAACAGTCCTTTCTGATCCACCTAGACACGGGGGTTCGGAGTCTCTCTAAAAATGAAAGGAGCCTGTAGAGCTTATGTAGTATGAGATAGATCCACCAAGGTTATTTAAAACTCAAGTAAACACCTTCTGTTTCCTGTAACAGACATACTCAGTTCTACCTGCTTTGTGGTTGAACATTAAAATCTAAGAATTCTGCATTTAATGTTGAATGACTATCTTAGAAAGGATTTGAGGATGTCTCAGGAAGCCTCTTATTCTCCTCTCAGCAAATTGGTAACAATAAAAATTAATAGCTAATACATACACGTGTGTGTATATACATATAACTGTATATACTTGTGCTTAGGTACTATTCTGAGCATTGTACATTATTAATTAATCCTCACAACAACTCTGTGAGAAATATACTACTATTATCCTCATTTCAGATGAGAAAACTTAGGCACAAGTGGTTAATAATTTGCCGAGGTAATGTAGCAATAAAGGGAGGATTTGAACCCAGGCAATCTGGATTTGGATTCTGTGTCTCAACCACTACACAAGACTGCCTCTCAACGGAACTTGTATGAGTTTAAATTATATTAAGGCCTGTTCTTAACCATCTGGTGTCCATCTCTTGTGGTCCTGAGGTTACCCTAATATGAATATTCTTCAGCTGCCTTGCATTTCTTTGCTTGTAGGCTTTATAAAGTACCATTTTGATCTATAGGTAATTATAAATTTAACCAAATCTGAACCTAAGGACTTTTAAGCTTATAGTTTCATATCACATTATCTTTTAAGCAGGACCTTTCATTTCTAAACCAGACACAGTTACCTTATTGGATGAAGGGAAGGAGCCCTGGATGGTTGTGAGGGAAGGGACAAGAAGACACTACCCTGGTGAGTGAGGGCTGAGCAGGCATGGGGAAGTCATTACTACAGGTGATAGCCAAGCTTGTTAGGGTAGAGGCACACCCTTGAGATGTCACTGGGGATCTCTCTTCAAAAGGCCATGGCCTGTAGTGGAAAGGCCTGAGACCCAGGAAGCAAATTAAAATCTTTTAAGTCCGGACTAGCAAAGGAACTTCCTATTGACCTGGATTACAGCTCTCTGTTTCTCGTCTCTCATATTTCTCTCCCACTTCAAAGCGAGGAGTTGTTCTCAGTAAAAGAAGAAAAAATGACAGTAAATATAAGAGCTGAAATCAACAAAATAGAAAAAGAAAAGAAATAGAAAAAAATTAATAAAGCCAAAACTTGATTTTTTGAAAAAATCAACAAAGTTGATAAACACCTAGCTTAACTAATCAAGAAAAAAAGAGAGACAACATAAATTATTAATACCAGAAATGAGAGGGGTTCACTTCACATCCTATAGCCATTAAAAGAATAATAAGAGAAAACCATGAATAACTTTATGCCAATGAATTTGACCACTTAAATGAAATGGAAAAATTCCTTTAAAAATACAACTTACCAGAACTAACACAAGATAAAAAAAAGAAAATATGAATAACCTTACATCTATGAAAGTAATTGAACTCATTATCAGAAGTCTTTCCACAAAGAAAATGCCAGGCCTGGATGATTTCACTGGTGAATTTTATTAAATATTTAAGGAAGAAATAGTGGTAATATTATGCAAATTCCTTCAGAAAAGGAAAGAACACCTCCCAACTCATTTTATGAGACTAGTGTAACTTTTTTTTTTTATTTTTTGGTGAGGAAGATCAACCCTGAGCTAACATCCATGCCAATGTTCCTCTTTTTTTTTTTTTTTGTTGAGGAATACTGGCCCTGCGCTAACATCCACGCCCATCTTCCTCCACTTTATGTGGGATGCCGCCACAGCATGGCCTGACAAGCGGTGCATCGGTGTGCGTCCGGGATCCGAACCCGGGCCGCCAGCAGCAGAGCGTGTGCACTTAACCACTACACCACTGGGCCGGCCCCGAGACTAGTGTAACTCTTATACTATAACCTGACAAACAAATTAGCAAAGGGAAAAAAATATTACAGACTCATATCCTTCATGAACATACATGTAAAATCCTTAACAAAGTATTAGCAAATCAAATCCAGCAGTATATAAAAATGATAAAGGGACTGGCCCAGTGGCGTATTTAAGGTCACACACTCTGCTTCAGTGGCCTGGAGTTCATGGGTTCGGATCCTGGGCGTGGACCTACACACTGCTCATCAAACCATGCTGTGGTGGCATCCCACACGCAAAACAGAAGAAGATTGGCACAGATGTGAGCTCAGGGCCAATCTTCCTCAAGCAAAAGAGGAGGATTGGCAACGGATGTCAACTCAGGGCCTGTCTTCCTCACCAAAAAAAACCCCACAAAAAACAAACTACAATAATCAATACATTGTGGTCTTGGATAAGGATCAACGAACAGAACACAGACCCTAGGTATAGACCTCACATACACTTAAAGGGTCGTTTATTTTTTGACAAAGGCATCAAAGCATCCAATGGGGAAAGGAAAATGCTTTCGTCAAATGGTGCTAGAATAACTGGAAACAAATCTCAACCCCTACCTTATACCAAAATTAATTTGAGATGAATTTTAGACCTAAGTATAAAAAGTAAATGTAAAAAATATAAAAAGCCAAAATAAAAGCTAAATATAAAAAATAGAATTAAAATTAAAAAACTAAATATAAATTTTATAAAAAATATAAAAGCTACCTATAAAGTTTTTAGAGGAAAACATGGGAATGACTTGGTAGTAGGCAGAGATTTCTTAGGTGAAAGCAATAAACCATAAAAATAAAAAATTGATAAATCAGACTTTATCCAAATTAAAAACTTTGTCTCATCAAAATATACCAATAAAAAAGTGAGTAGATAAGTCACAGACTGGGAGAAAAAAGTAGTAAAACATCCGGCAAAAAACCCTTATCCAGTGTATATACTACGACTCAATGCTATACGATCATGTGTCGCTTAACGACAGGGATACGTTCTGAGAAATGCATTGTCAGTTGATTTTGTCGTTGTGCAAACATCATAGAGTACACATACACAGATGATAGACGATATTGCCTACTACACACCTAGGCTATATAGTACTCATCTTATAGGCCCACCGTCATATATGCGGTCCGTTGTTGACCAAAACATTGTTATGGGACACGTGATTGTAATGATAACCCGATCAAAAATGGGTAAAAGGTGCATCCATACTATAGAGTAGTACTCAGCAGCAAAAAGGAATAAACTAGTGATACACACAGCATCTTGGGTGAACCTCAAGTTTTTCTCTAAGTGAGAAAAACTGATCATAAAAGGTTATGTACCACCCAACTCCAATTGTGGAATATTAATGAAATAACAAAATTATAGAGATGGGAAATGGATTAGTGGTTGCCAGGGCTAGAGATGTAGAGAGGGGAGGGAGTGGTTAGGACTATAAAGGAGTAACACGAGGGAGTCTTGTGGTTGTGGTACGGTTGAGTGTCTTGTTTGTGGTGGTGGTTACACAAGGCTAGACGTGATAAAATTGTATAGAACCGTATACATACACACATGAGGGCATGTATACCTGGTGAAGTCTAATTAAGCTAAATAACGTTAATTTCTTGATTTGAATATTGTATTATAGTTATATAAGAGACTTTTCCTGTACATTTCTTTGCAACCTCCTGTGAATCTTTAATTATTTCAAAATAAAAAGTAAACAAAAATCTCCCATTGGGGTTGATGGGTAAAATATTTGAACAAAGAGAGGCGCTATTCTTTTTCTTGCTCAGTGACTGCAATTCATCTGTATCTAAATCTGTATTAGCTTGAGCTGCCTTAACAAAATACCATAGACTGGGGGACTTAAACACCAGTAGTTTGTTTTCTCACAGTTCCGAAGGCTAGAAATCCAAGGTTAGCATTTTTGGGCTCTGGTGAGGGCTCTATTCCTGGCTTGCAGATGGCCCCCTTCTCATACTGTCCTCACATGGTGGGCAGAGAGAGATCTTTTTCTTTCTCTTATAAGACCACCAATCCTCTCGGATTAGGACTCCACACTTATGACTTCATTTGACCTTAATTACCTCCTAAAAGCACTGTCTCCAGATAGCGGCACACTGGGGGTTAGGGCTTCAACGTATGATTTTAGAGGAACACAATTCAGTCCATAGCAATGTCTATCTATATTGGATCCAGTTTCTATTTTGATTAGTTTATGTATTTATTTTGTTGCCTAAAAATAAATTCAGTCATTTATTAAGGGCTGGGCAGTCTAATCTCGTGTAGGCTAGCCTGGATTTAGGGGGTCAGCTACCCAGGCTTATCAATGGGAGCTGTATTGAGTGCCCAGTCTGAACCAAGCACTGTGCTAGACACCAGTTGACAGTTGTGAACAAGAGTGATGGGTCCCAGCAGTCGTGTTGTTTGCATCATAATAGGAGTAAGGACAGTAAGTAGCCAAGTAAATAAATAGTGTTAGGTAGTGACAAGCATTATTAAAAAAAGTGAGGAGAGTTAGGGAATAGAAATTGGCAGGTGTAGACGGGTTGGTTTTAGGGTGGTCAGGGCTTTTTGAGGGGATGTTATTTGAATGGAGACATGAAAAAAGAGCTCAGGCCGTATGAATATTTCAAGCAAGAGCAGTCCTGAGAGAGCAGCAAATGCAAAGGCCTTGGGTCGGGGGGCAGAAGCTTTGTATGTTTGAGGAACAGCGAGAAGATTCCTGAAGAACAGCCAGGATGATTAGAATGGTGAGGAGGATTACTCTCACTAGCACGGAGACTGCTAAAATTCTACTTGGATCTTTAGCCTTTTAGAAGTTGCTTTCTGTGTAATTGCTTGCCTGTGGTAGATGTACACTTTAAGAGTCAGCAGATGTCTTAGGGGAGAGTCCATGCAGAATGTCGGCTTAATTCAACGTTTGCTTTCTCGCCAGGACCTTGGTGTCTAAGCCTGGCTGCTTTGGTCGTTCAGTAGTGTCCTAAAACAAATTTTATTTTAATTAACCTTTTTAGTTGTTTTTAGTGGGTTAGTCTGATAACAGCTTCTCCAGGATAGGCAGAAACAGAAGTCGCCTTTCCCATCTTTTGTTATAGTATTTCTATATTTTAGATCAAATAACATGTAATTTATGTTCTGTAACCATAATCCTTACATTATTAGCAGTGTATTAGTACTAGTCGTAGAGTTAAAAAGATTCAATGCTCATACCAATCCTTATGATTTAGTTTTGTTTTTCTTTCTTTGGAGGTCTGTCTTGCTTTTCTTTAGTTTATTCTTTATTGTATTCCTCAAGAAAGGCTCATGGGTCCTAATGAAATTTATATACTTAGTAATTTACTTTATTTAAATATACCTGCATACACACACATATTTAAGTTTTAGAATAACAACATCCAATTATCAACAGTATGTTTAATGAGAATTTTTAATATTTTTATTCAGTTTGTTGTCATCAATATCATACTATTTTAATTATTGAAGCTTTTCATGGTTAATTATTTGCTAGTGTCAAGAACTGTGAAGCGTCTGCAATTTTACCCCACTTGCAAGCTAACGAGTTAGCCTGCCACAGTGTTGTGGATGCTGCGGAAGACACAAGACTCCTAAGCCGTAGACAAAGGGTTTTATTGCTCACGGCACAACAAACAGCAGTATATTGGCATCGGTCCCCTTTGCCTACAGGTCCCATGGGGGTGATGTGGATGGGTCTCAGTGGATCCCTGAACACGCAGTGAGCTGCATTATAGGAGAGGAACCCTGAGCTTAGGGAACCAGATCTCTCATAATGGGCAGTAAGCACGTATGACCTTTGCTCCGAGGGAGATAATACCTTTGTTATACTGAGCAGTTAGCAGACCTGCCTATTTATCCAGAGAGAGATACTATCTCTACCTTCCAAGGCTGTTTGTTATACAAATGTTCTTGAAAAGATAGCCCAGAATAAAGGTAGTCAGTGCTTTTCATTGCAAGATGTGCAAAAATGGTGAGTTGAGCTGAATACCTAGTTGCTATTTTTCATTTTGTTTGAATGCTTTCCTTTTTTTTATTATCATCTTAGCTAATGGTTAATATGTTTCACTGATTTTTTTTTTAAACAACCTCGGTTTCTTGTGTATTAATTTAATTCTTTTTCTGTTATCTAATTAATGAAATTCTGCTTTTATTTTAAGTTATTCACTCCTGCGTTCCTTAGTATATTTGGTGTTCTTTTTCTAACGTTTGAGTGGGCTACTCGTATTTTTTTCCTTCATTTTTATTGCTCTGAGAATTTAAATATATCAGTGAATTTTCTTCTAAGATCTGTAGCAATATTTCATAGGTTCTTGATAATGTAGTATTTTCAATATTATTTTCTAGAAATTCTACAATTTAGTAGAGAGTTTTTAAAATTTGAAGTGAAGATGTCTCTTGGTTTTATGATTCTATTATTTCTCAGTTTGTTTCATAGTCATCAGACTATTGCTTGAGTCATTTCGACAGTTTTATACATTTATACTATAGTCACAGAAAAAAACTTTCCTGTCTCTCCTATGCCATTTTTCCCCATCTCTTTGCTTACTTCATTCCGCATTTAGATTTTCTTCCTGCAAGTCCTCTATCTGGATCACTTTCTTCGAGCCCACGTCCAACATAGCCTTTACTTTTACTCTCTTGCACTCAGGTGATACCCGTCCCCATTCCATATTTGACAGTCATTCTGCTATACTCAATATCTATCTACCCATGCCTTTTTGCTCAGGATTTCATAAGCTTGTCAGTGTTAGCATGATTGAAAAATATTTGAGATTGTTTTTTGGAAAGTCCAAAAGTTGCTTTGGCTATGTGGATGGGAAAGGAGCACCTAGGGAAGATATGAAGGAACAAATATTGGAGTAAATGTAGTGTTGATAAGTAATAGTATAAACTCTAGTGGAGGTAAGCAAGTCATTGCATGTAGTGCAGTGTAGAAGATTAGAGACAGATGTACATATTTGTTAGTGATTACATAATTCTGGGAATTAATTATGAGTAGCATCTATTGTGTATTTGGGGTTTGTTATTTAATGGTAAATGAATAGAAATTGTTTCTTCCACTGGAGAAACTTAGGGGTAAGACACTAACAGAATAACAAATGAGAAAATTAATAAATACATTATTCCAAAATTGAGAAGAAAAGTGTTCTATAGAAGAGGAGCAGGTTGCTGGGCTAGAGCATAAAGTGTGTAGATTTAAATAAGGTCAGCAGGAATAGCCTCTCTGAAGAAGTCGTGTTTGAGACCTGAGGATGAAAGAAGCCCACCACGCAAAGTCAGAGGATTTCTCGAAAAAGAGGAACCTGTGAACAGTGCTATTTGATGGGAACTAACAATTGTAGTGCATTTTGTGAGCTGAAAAGAGGCCTTTATGGCATGAATGGAGAGAGTAAATGGGAGAGGAGTTGATAAGCAGAAGCCTTATTATCCACACTCAGGTAATTATATTTTATTCTAATAAAGAGAAATCACTGAAAACATTGAAGTAGGGATACTCAAACATTGATCAGCATCAGAACCATTTGTTGAAGAATATAAATAAAAACAAAACAAAAACATGCCCAGAACCTAGTCCTGTAGATTTGGTTTCAGTCCATTACGGATCCCTCTCTGTGGGTTTAACAAGCCATCATGTGATTCTTATCCACACCTCAATCGGGCCTCCAGTGGTTTCACTCATTTCCCTGATCACCAGCCTCACCTCCATTCCTGGACTCTCTTTATTTGCTGTGTTTCCTTTGCCTTTTTTTGAAATGTATGAAAATATAGTGTGTTCCATAATACAATTAATAACCCATAATACAAATTTGCTAAATAGTGATATGAAACAGAATGATATCAGTATAATGTGGAAGTTGGTTCACAGGTAATTTTCCTAGTTGAATGGAGCCAGAACAGTAGAAGTAGATTTATAGCATTCAGCAGGAAAGGCAAAAGCCTCCGTTTGATGCTTTATTGTTAGAAGCCCTTTCACCTCTATATTAAGAAAATTAATAATAAATGCCTGCACACAGGGTTCCCTCCCCAGAGACATATACCATCAACCTTGCGTGGCTCCTAGCGAAAGACTGGTTACACTTCACCCTATTGCCACCTTAATGGTAGCCTCACTGGCTCAGGGCTTTATTTTCATGTGCAGTGTCTCAGCACCTGAAATCTGGCATTTCCACTTTATTTTTATGCATTGTAATATCCGTGAAGTGGCCTTCAGCCATGCTGATTGCCTTTTGGGTTATCTCTTGTGATGTCAGTTATTATATTTGTTAATGCTCTGCTAATAAAGTTGCATAGGTTTGAGTGGACTTCTCCAGCCCTATTTTCCTCATAAACTCTAATTTTTGGTGTGTAATTTTGCAGAAGATAAGGTTTTTTTAGGTACACATATGTGGTATTGTAGCAGAAACGCCTATGCTCTAGAGATGTTTAATCCATTCACTTGTAATAGGCATTATTTTAAGTGCTTTTAATTTCTCTATAGAAGTTTTCTTCTGGAACAGGAAAACAGCACGTGTTTGCTTTCTTGTTTTCTTTCAGATTTGGAGTCCAGATACAGGACCAATACCTTATCTCCAGAAAAGGACATTTATGAAATATATTCATTCCAATGGGAGATAATGGAAAGAATTAAAAGCTATAGCCTTCAGGACTCCATTTTTAGAAATGATTGGGAATGCAAAAGCAAGATTGAGGGGCAAAAGGAACCACAAGAGGGATATTTTGGGCAAGTGAAAATTACTTCTGAAAAAATGACCACTTACAAAAAGCATAATTTTCTTGCTGAGTATCAGCGAGTTCATAATGGAGAAAAGTTATATGAATGTAAGGAATGTAGGAAGACCTTTATTCGTCGTTCAACACTAAGTCAACACCTGAGAATTCATACTGGTGAGAAACCTTATAAATGTAAGGACTGTGGGCAGGCCTTTAGACAGCGTGCCCACCTTATTCGACATCACAAACTTCATACTGGTGAGAAACCCTATGAATGTAAGGAATGTGGGAAGGCCTTTACAGTGCTCCAAGAGCTTACTCAACATCAGAGACTTCATACTGGTGAAAAGCCCTATGAATGTAAGGAATGTGGAAAGGCCTTTAGAGTACATCAGCAACTTGCTCGACATCAGAGAATTCACACTGGTGAGAAACCCTATGAATGTAAGGCATGTGGGAAGACCTTTAGGCAGTGTACACACCTTACTCGACATCAGAGACTTCATACTGCTGAGAAGCTCTATGAATGTAAGGAATGTGGGAAAGGCTTCGTATGTGGTCCAGACCTTAGAGTACATCAGAAAATTCATTTTGGTGAGAAACCCTATGAATGTAAGGAATGTGGAAAGGCTTTTAGAATATGCCAACAGCTTACTGTCCATCAGAGTATTCATACTGGTGAGAAACCCTATGAATGTAAGGAATGTGGGAAGACCTTTCGATTAAGGCAACAACTTGTTCGCCATCAGAGAATTCATACTCGTGAGAAACCCTACGAATGTATGGAATGTTGGAAGACCTTTAGTAGCTACTCACAACTTATTTCACATCAGAGCATTCATATTGGTGAGAGACCTTATGAATGTGAAGAATGTGGTAAGGCCTTTAGACTGCTCTCACAACTTACTCAACATCAGAGTATTCATACCGGTGAGAAACCTTATGAATGTAAGGAATGTAGAAAACCTTTTAGACTGCTCTCACAACTTACTCAGCATCAGAGTATTCATACTGGTGAGAAACCTTATGAATGTAAGGAATGTGGTAAGGCTTTTAGACTTTATTCATTTCTTACTCAACACCAGAGAATTCATACTGGTGAGAAACCCTACAAATGTAAGGAATGTAAAAAGGCCTTTAGACAACATTCACACCTTACTCAACATCAGAAAATTCATAACGGAATTTAATAAAGCCTTCAAATGTACATTGTTACAGAACATCAGAAAATTCATTTTTGAGAATTGTTTAATGCTCACAACTAAGCATAAGAAATTTTATATTACAGAAAAAATATGTTGCTTTAAAAGCCTTCCATCACCGGTCAAACATTATTTATCTTCAGCAAATCCATTTAAGATGATAATATAGTGAATGTAGGAAAATCTTTAGCCTTATCTATCATTGTCTCTATTTCACCACTTTATTACCAGTGTGTTATGGACAAGGTACTTAAACTTCTCTGCCTCATTTTGCTCACTTGTAAAATGGTGATAATAGTACCTATGTATATTAGTTATTTATTGCTGTGTAATAAATTACCACAAACTTAGTAGCTTAAAATAATACACATTTATTATCTCACAATTTCTATGGGTCATGAGTCTGGGCATAACGTAGTTGGGTCCCCTGCTTCAGGGTCTCTCACAAGGCTAAAATCAAGGTTTCCGTCAGGGCTGGATCTCATCTGAAGGCTTGACTGGGGAAGGGATCCACTTCCAACCTTACATGGTTGTTGGCTGAAGGCTGACCTCATTCCTTGCCACATGGGCCTCTTCAGCATGGCTGCTTGCTTTATTAAAGCTTACAAGCCAAGAAAGCAATAGAGTCTGCTAACATCACAGAAGTTCTCTTCTTGTGTAATCTAATCACTCGAGTAACATGTCATACCTATGCTGTTTTCTGGTTAGAAGCAAGTTAAACTGCCCTACACTCAAGGGAAGAGGATTACACAAGAGTATGAATACCAGGAGGCAGGGACCATTGGGGGCCAATTCAGAGTCAGCCTACCACATTGTATAATAGAATTGTTGTAAGGAATAAGTTGTTAATACTTGGAAAATAGCAGCCACATAGCATGTTTTCTGTAAATATTATCTACAGTTGTTATTATCATCGTTACTATTAGTGAATTTGTATGAAAGGAATATCCTATAGAAGTAATAAATGTAGAAATGCCTCCTGTCACTGCTCAGCACTTACTAAACAAGATAATTTATTCTGGATAAAATCGAGAGGTTATATTGAAGTGAGAAGTTCTTCATCACTTAAGTTGCATTAGAAATTTTATGCTGAAAAGAAGCATTATGTGAGTGTCATGAATGTGAGGTTGATAAGAGTACAACTGTTGAAGAATCAAAGAGAAATATGAAATTATTTTCACATAATAAATTCCAAAAAGTAAATATTTTATAATTCCTATTGTCTGACCGCTGTTCAAGATTAATTAGAAACTGTCAAGAACATGGCAGAAAGGAAACTAACCACTTGGAAATTTAATATTGTGTGTGTGCATGTTCGTGTGTGTGTGTAAAATTCTTGTATAAAAGAAAGAAAATGTCATTCCATTTCAGTCAGTATATTTTTTGATGCTCAAATCACCTCATCTTCAGCCAGTGGGAGTTGGGTCTCTTGACGTGACTCCGATAGTAGTTTGATAGTTTGCTTGGTTATGGCTGCACAATTTGCTCAGACATGGAAGATGTTTGGGCACCAATTCATTCCAAAATCTATAAATAAGAGAAAAAATAAGCATTTATTTTGCTTTTCCCATGTGAACCAAGTTTCAGGGCCACCAAAAGCTCATAGAATTAAAGTGTGTATGTGTTTTTTTAATTTAAGAAATCTAACCAGTAAATACAGAAAGATTGATAGGATTAGAAAAATCTTTCTAGTTCCCTAATGGAATAATGGCCCAGAAAATGACCTTCAATGGATAGTAAAACTATTAGGTGAAAGATTTTTATAGTGAGAACTTTATAGTGGATTTATCAAGCTGACCATCTCTGAACTCTTTGATCAATTTTAACCTCTATAAAAGTGGGACTATCAGACAATATGCACCTCCTGATATAATGCATAGGAAATACACACCACTGCCTATGAAGCTTTATTGCCAAAATAATGACTGAAGGAATCAAACCATTAAATCAAATTCTTTAAAACTAAGAATTTGGGGAATAGATGAATGGAGTTAATGGCACCACAAGGAAGCAGCCAAGCAGATCCAGAATGTGTAAAATTCTAGAAAACAAGTGACCTGATTTCTTCAACTAATGAATGGCACGAAAAAGAAAAGAAGGGCAACTGTTAACAGATTAAAAGAGACTTGAGAGACATCACTTAAATTCAATATGTAGGCATTACTCGGACCCGTGTAAAAAGACATTCTGGAGACGGGGAAACATGGAGGTGCATTGAATTTTCGGTGATATTTAGAAATATTAATTTTGTTAGGGATGATAATATCAGTGTGGTTATTAAAAAAGAAAAGATCATGTGTTAGAGATACATACTTACATATTTATGAAATGATAAGATATCCAGATTTGCATTACAATACTCCAGCAAGAGAAAACAAATTGGCAAAGAGCCGGGAAGTAGATGTTGATAATTACTGAAGTGGAGCGGTTTGTTTGTGGGGTTCATTGTTCTAATATTTGTACTTTTTTATGTATTCGAAAGTTTCAATAATAAAGTTTAAAATCAAAACTGAAATTACGGACTAATTAGAAATGATTGTTAATGAGATGCCTGCATATCTGAACTTGTCAGATGTCACCAAAGTTCTATTCAGTGGGAAATGAATGCCCTTTAATGCATTAATGCGTTAAGGAAACTTGGTGGGCCGTCTTCACCTTCTTCACTTATCTGCAGCAGTCAGCACTGGACCTCTCAGATAGATAAATGTGTTAAAGGAATGAATAAGCGTTTATGTCAAGAAACCAGAAACAGAACAAAATAAAACCAACACAAGAGAAGCAAAGTACAATTAAATGGAGAAATTAAGAGTCTAGACAATGGTAGACTTAATCCAATGTTAATGACTATATTTTTGCAGATCTAATCAAGGGGAAAAGTGCAAGATAATACATTTAGAGCATTAGCAACGATAAAAGTGACATAACTAGAGACTACTAAGGATATTTTGTTTTAATTATGAGGTAAGACTATATGTATGTACTATATATATTCCAATACATGTAAAAATATAGAGGGATTACATTTCTTTCTACAAGAATGTGTTACTACAACTGACTGCTGTAGAACCCAAATAGACCGACAAACAAATGTGTGTGTATGAAGTTCTTGTTTAAGAAAAAAAATCTGATAGTTGTAGCCTTAAGAAATAGATAATCCTTAACAAGATTTTACCAATTAATTTTACACAGCTAAAATAATCCTGATACAAAAATGGGTGAAGATAGCTCCTAAAAAGCAAAACGTAGACCAGCTTCCTTTATGAAAATTCTGTTCTTCATATTTCTAAAGAAAATATATTTAGAATTTATTTTGAAGTCAGTCTTCACTAATAGGTCAGTGCGTTGCCTTTCCCAAGTAGCAGATATCCCAGGAGACCTGTGTTTAACATGGCATAGGGCCGTAACCTGACATTTTCCACAAGTTTGCTTCAGGGAATACTACTCCTTGAGGATATGTGAAAAAAACGATTTTTTGGGAAAAAGTGTAAATGAAGCAAAGCACAAAAAATCTACTTTTGGGGAAATCCAAGTCCACATTATCAGCTTGTCAAAGGATGTAGCAAAGAAATTTATCTTTAAGAGTGTATCTCAAACTTACTTCACTGTGGAATTCTCACTCCAAGTCTCTCTTAACGCTGTTAGAATGTGAAGCACTTGGGTAGAATGTGAAGCACTTGGGTAGAATGTGAAGCACTATGGTTTGCTACCATAACCACAACGAATGTCTTCCAGGACGTCATTTCAGACAGTGTGGTGAGTGAGTGTGTTGGGAAGGGGTGAGGAAGGGCACTTGCCGTTGCAGCTCACATCCTACTCTGAAGCAGCTTCCCACTTTTCTCTAGAATGGAATAAATTCTAGCCTGGTCCTTGATAATGTGTATACTGAACATGCTGAAATATTCTATTAAACACTGATTAGGTCATAAACGACTTTTCATTGTAATAAAAATGCTGTGTTGAATACCGTTTTGTGTATTTTCTTATTTAAAGAGTTAAGAATCTCTCAAAGCTGCATATCTAGAGTGAAATGTTCGCTGTGGGCTGTATATAGTTCCAGGTCACAGATTGCCGGATTGTTCTCATCATTGCACCAATTTTGAATCCCTTCAATTTTTTTTTTTTTCTTTAGGAGCACAAATTGCTCTTTGTTTTTTTGTGAGGAAGATCAGCCCTGAGCTAACATCCGTGCTAATCCTCCTCCTTTTGCTGAGGTAGACCAGCTCTGAGCTAACATCTATTGCCAATCCTCCTTTTTCCCCCCCCCCAAAGCCCCAGTAGATAGTTGTATGTCATAGCTGCACATCCTTCTAGTTGCTGTATGTGGGACGCGAGGCCGGAGAAGCGGTGCGTCCCTGCGCGCCCGGGATCCGAACCTGGGCCACCAGCAGTGGAGCGCGCACACTTAACCACTAAGCCACGGGGCCGGCCCTAAAGTGTGATTTTAACACTTCAAATAAACTGAGGATTCTCTCAACTGCATTTGTTAAAGAAAGCCAATACGTTTTTGAATGTGAGAGAACTGAAGAATACTGAATGCCAACAAAACCACAAAAATTTCGTAATCACTCAGTTCAAACAATAAAAATGCTGGAGAACAATTTCATGATAATTACAACTCTCACTATAATGTCTGTTATAATGGACTTGCTAAACTTAACAACCAAGATACTATACAATGGATGTAGATTATTTTGTCACATTCTGCATTCCATCTTGGGATCATCTGGCCTCCTAAATATTTTTAAATTTGTATACATTAAGGCTTACTCTTCATGCCTTAAAGTTCTATGGGTTTGACAGATCTTAATGTCTTGATTCACCGTTACAGTATCATATGGAACAGTTTCATTACCCTAAAAAATCTGGTGTGCTTCACTTAGTCAGCTCCCCCCTCCCGCCCCCATCCTTGAACTCCTGGCAACTACTCACCTAATTACCATTTCCATAGTTTTGCATTTTCCAGAATGTCATATAATTGGAATCATACACTATGTAAATTTTTCAGGCTGGCTTCTTTGACTTAGTAATATACATTTAAAATTCCTCTATGTCTTTTCATAGCTTGATAGTTAATTTACTTTTATTGCCAAATAATACTCCTTTTTATAGATGTATCACAGTTTTTGCTTATCCATTCACCTATTGAAGGACACGCTCATTGCTTCCAGCTTTTTGGCGGTTATGTATAAAGTGACTATAAATATTCACATGCAGGTTTTTGTGTGGACGTAAGTTGTCAACTCAATTGGGTAAACATTAAGGAGCGCAATTGCTGGATCGTATGGTAAGATGATGTTTAGTTTTGTAAGAAACTACCAAACTGTCTTCCTCAGTGGCTGTATCATTTTTCATTCCTACCAATAATTAATGAGCGTTCCTGCTGCTCCTCATGTTGGTATTGGCAGCAGTTAGTACTGTCAAGGTTTTTGGGAATATTAGCCATTCTAACAAGTGGATACTACATCTCATTGTTCTACTCTGCAATTCTTAATGACCAAACACAATGTTGAGCATCTTTTCATGTTTATTTGCCATCTGTAATGTCTTTGGTGAGATGTTTACCTGGATCTTTTGCCCATTTTTAAATTGGTTTTTGTTTTGTCTTCTCGGTGAGTTTTAAGAGTTCTTTTTATATACAATCCTTAATCAGATATGTGGTTTGCAAATATTTTCTCCAAGTCTGTGACTTACCTTTTCATTCTCTTTACAGTGTATTTCACAGAGCAGACATTTTTAACTTTAATAAAGCCCAACTAATCATTGTTTCCTTTCATGGATCTTGCTATTGCCATTGTATCTAAAAATTCATCATAAACCCAAGGTCAAGTACATTTTCTCCTGCTTTTTCTTCAATATGTTATAGTCTAAAAGTTTACATTTAGATCTATGGTCATTTTAATTTTTCTGTAAGGTATAAGAAAGGTCTGTGTCTAGGTTCTTTTTTTTAATATGTACATCCAATTGTTCCAGCACCATTTGTTAAAGAGACTATCCTTTCTCTATTGCCTTTGCTACTTTGTCAAAGATCTGTTGACTGCATTTGTGTGGGTCCATTTCTGGGCTCTCTATTCTGTTCAGTTGATAAATGTGTCTTTTCTTTCTCAAATACCATGTGGTCTTGATTACTGTAGCTTTATAGTAAGTCTTGAAAATACGTAATGTGAGCCAAATTTGTTCTTCCTCTTTAGTATTGTGTTGGCTATTCTGGGGATTTTGCCTTTCCATATAAACTTTAGAGTAACTTTGCTGATATCTATCTACAAAATAATTTTCTGGCGTTTTGACTGACATTGTGCTGCATCTGCAGATGAAGTCTGGAAAAATTGACTTCTTCACAATGTTGAGTATTTTGATTCATGAACTTAGATTATCTTTCCATTTATTTAGTTCTTTGATTTATTTTGTCAGAGTTTTGTAGTTTTCCACATACAGATCCTACAGATATTTTCTTAGACTTTGTTATGGATCTGTCAAAGTAACACAAGTGCAGCACAGGGTGCCAGATAGTGAGCCATGGTTCAACAACAGACCACAAGAGAAATTGAAATAGAGTTTATTACTCACAGGTCCTGGAGGAAGTACCAGGC